AACCCTCATAAATGAGGATAGAGATGAATGTTTGAGAAAAGATGAAGAGTGAATATGAAAAGACGTAGTGTATTTATTAGCTAAATGAGGGTAATAATGGAAAAATATGTACAAAATATCCAAAAACGATATTTATTTTGTAAATAGTTGATAATGCAAAAATGACATTTAAAAAGAATAGGAGGTAGTAATAATAATACTTGTATCGTTTTGTGTATATATATGAAAGTGAGAGGGCTAAAATTCAAATTAATTTGGGGAGGTGGAGTTTAAAATTGAGCTGAAGATCGGAGGTTCTCACACTGGTTATCTTCTCCACGCCGATCTTTTTTATTTTCACAATCAATTGATCATAGAGTAGAGAGAGAGTCTAGAGAGAGAAACAGAGGAGAAGAAGAAGAAGAAGAAGAGAAGGCTCCGGTGTGCTATTCTGTGGACGTCGTAATATGTATGGCCCCACCGCTGTCTCCTGTTCTAAACTGTTGTTGCGATTAGGGTTTTTGAACTTTTTTTTTTTCCGTTCTGTAACGTGAGTTGCCGTGTACGACTGCTGATCTGCTTGTGTTTGTTTTTGTTCTTTTCTTCGTGATTTTATTATGCAGCTGGTCGCGTTTTCTACCGCCGAGGATAAAAGATGGTAATTCTCTGTTCCACCTCTCTAATGCTAGGGTTTTTGTTACTGTTTGTATTGTTTGGGATTTTCGGTGACTGTTGTGGGTTTCTGGGCTTGAGGCTTGATTGATTTGTTGTTTGTTGTTTTGGAATTTTCGAATGATCGGTTACTGTTATGTGTTTGTGAGCTTGAGATTGATTGATTGATTTGTTGTTTTCTGGGTTCATGAAGCTTCCGCTTTCGCTACTCAAGACTGCTCAAGGTCACCCTATGGTACACTTCTTTGCTCTAAGCGTTCTGTCTGTCTACGTTTTAATTTTTCTGTTGTTTGTTGTTATCTTCTTTACCTTTTTTTTCATTGTTATTTTGTTATTAACTGTAAGTTTCTTTTTCTGTTCCCTCTTAAAACCTCATAATATGCCTATTTCGGTTTTCATTCTTTTATTCATGTTCGATTCAACTCTGGCTGTTTCGCAACTATCCATACTGGCAGCATACGTGTGTTTGCATTCAACTTTTCGTGTTATGAACATGATGTATGTCGAGTGATAAATGGTAATATGTATATTGACAGTTGGTAGAGCTGAAAAATGGGGAAACATACAATGGGCACTTGGTTAATTGTGACACTTGGATGAATATCCATCTTCGTGAAGTTATATGCACCTCAAAGGTAATTATCTTATTTACTTGTTTCTGGTTTTAATATTTATTTATTCTTTCTTTCCAAGTGCTTATCCTTTTTTGTTTTGTCGCCTTAGTAACATGATTATGTGTGCTGTAGAATTAGTGTCAAGTGTAAACTGTGGAGAAAGTTTCATTCCCTGATTCCACCCTGAAGGTTTTTAAGTTGAGCATGGTTTGCATCTTTTGCAGGATGGGGATAGGTTTTGGCGAATGCCTGAGTGCTACATAAGAGGGAACACAATTAAGTATCTTAGAGTTCCAGATGAGGTATCTATTTTATCTCACTTAATGTGTTTTTAGTTTGCAGTGATTGTTTCTGTCTAATGTTGATGGCTTGGGTTGTTTCCCTTAGAGTAACTTAGTACAGAGTTTGTAACCGATCCCTCTTGTAATTTTGACTAGGCTAATATGTGTAATATTGTCAGAAACATCTTTTATTGTTAGGGTAAAATTCGCGCAGGCCAGGTTTGCCAATATTTGAGTTTCTGGCTTTTTCAGAAAATTCGTTCTTACATGATAAACCTAACTTGTGGATAAAGTTGGATGACTTGGATAGAAACATCTTTTGCTGTTAGGGTAACATTCGCACAGACCCGGTTTGCCAATATTTGAGCTTCTGGTTTTTTCAGAAAATTCCTTCTTACATGATAAACCTGACTTGTGGATAACATTGGATGACTTGGATTCCCCTTAGCCCGTGAACATTGTTTAGGATCGGGTCATTCTGTCCTCTCTAATTAATATCATATTTATCTGTTCCTCACTATTTGAGACTTGGTCTTGGAGGGTGTTTATGTGAAGTATCAAAGCATTTTGACAAACTTTTGATGTGTTATATTTGCAGGTGATTGATAAAGTTCAGGAGGAGACGAAAAGCCGTTCTGGTACTATTTTCTGATATAGCTTTTCATTAAGTTCTTTTAATCAAAATTGATGAATCTTTGGCAGCTGACATATTATGGAGTTGTCGGAACTTGTCCTTTTTTAGCAAAGCTAAGAAATGTGGTATCTGTATGGAAACCAACCATATTATGACTGAGAGAAGTTATGTTATTTGCTTATACAAGGAGTCCATAATTCATATTTCTGCGGTTGATATCCTAGGGTTTTTTTTTTTTTTTGCGTGTACCTTAACCCCTTTTGATGGCATGTAATTGGTGGTTGCGGAGGGGTGGGAGCCCCACCTTTTTCTATTTATGCTGCATACTTCTTTGGCTTTCTTACTCGTTGCCTCAAATTTTTATTATTCTCTTTTTGGTGTGTCTATTTGCCATTCACACAGATGTCTAGTTGAATCAACCCTTATTTTCAAGTCCAGTTCGAAGTTTTTTTCATCTCACCTAAAAAGTAAAAACTCGAGATAACTCTTCGAAAACTCAATGTAATTCTTTCATCACAGATAGAAAGCCACCTGGAGTAGGGCGTGGAAGAGGAAGAGGTAGAGAAGATGGCTTGAAACCGAAAGGCATTGGCCGTGGCATGGAGGATGGAGGTGGTCGAGGTGCAGGAGGAGGCCGAGGTAGAGCTGCATCTGGAGGGAGGGCTGGTGGAAATAGAGGTTCGTTGTCATAATTTTTGTATTTTGATCTCTAGTATCTCGAAATCCTTTCTTGTTGCCAGATTTTACGAATATCGTCTTTCTTCAATTTGTGTTTGGAGAATCGTTGTCAATTGAATTTGCTTTTAAACGATATCTTGAGCATTATTGTTCCTTTTCTTGAGATTTTTTTTTTCCATCACTTTTCAAGAGTGATGTGGATAAAAATTGAACTATTTATTTTAATATAAACTCAATATCTCACTAACAACTAACCAACCATACAACCTTTTTCAAAATTAACTCGGGTTAACCAAAAAAACTTGTTTTGAGTGAATATATGTGTATACTAGCACGCCATTAATCTTTTTCTCGCTTATTTTTACAGGTGGGGGTGGAGGTCGTGGCCGTTGAAGCCTGATTGTGAGGTTAAAGCATACTTGAAGACTGAAAACGTGGTCACTTTATATTTTTTTAAGACCACTAGCTTCTTGTCTTGATGACCTTCTAGGTTTTGCTCTATAAATTTGTCCCTTTTGTGCTTTCGCTAACTTATATTGGTTCGTTATTTTACTATTTGCATTTGTTATGTTTGGTTGATGCTATTGATGGCCAAGTTCTGGTAGCTGATTGATGCCATTTCGAATGTAGCGAATTTTCAGCATCGTCAGAAACTTTCTTTGAGATTTGTTTGTGATATTTTCTTTCAATTGAAAAAACTGTAAAACAGTTCGTCCAAGCATGTTATGCTGTCCAGTTACGATTTTTGGTGTTAAAAGATGAGTTGTGTAAGAGTTCAGATGAGTTGCCAAAGCCCGATGTTTGTTTCTGTTGCATGCGGACAGGACGTGAAACAATTGTAAGCTTGCTCGGACTAGCCCAATACTGTTTCAAGAGCGGCCCATTTACAAAGGCCTAAAATAAACGAAACGGCCTCACATTGCAGTTGAGCAACAAAGGTAAGTGAGTTTGAGCCTTCAAAGCCATGGGTCAAAGAATTTTTGGTTGGCCCGACGAATTTCAAGACTTGTTAGCTTAATCAGCGGTAGGAGGTGAAGAAATCCATAAAGGATCACATGATTACTCATTGAGAAAGTCCAAATGTGGAAATTTGAATTTTTTGGTTCTTTTTTTCTTTTCTTTTTTTTAAACGAAAAACTCTATGTTAGTAAACACAAGTATTTACAAACTAAAACAACTAACTAAATCGGTCCGATACTAAACTAAATTTAGAATAAAGACTATTCAACGGTAGCCTAAAAGCCAAAAACATGAAAATTCAAAAAAATAATTTTCAAGTGTACAAACATAACTTTTTAGACAAAACCTTTGAGCTTCCATACATCATTAACGACATTAGTCTCTAAATTCCTCTAGGAAAACAAATAAAAAATAAAATAAAATAAATACACTGTAATAACTTTTCTACGAAATATGAAATCAATCAAGCTCTGGAGTAAGGACTATGCCTCATTTTCCTCTTGGTTTTCGAAGATTTTTCAACCAAAGCACTCGAAACCCACGAACAGTTAGTCTCTCCCATGTCGTCTGATAACCAGCAACACATTCGGCCATCTTCACCGCCCGACCATCCAAAGATACCATTGTTCCTCGAATTCCTGCAAATTATGCTTGACATAGGCAACACAGTCCTTAAAATCCCGGTATGGCCACCATGAAAAACCGCCTCTGGAGAACCAATTGTCTTTGCACTTCCATAACTGACCGGAAAGTATCCGAACGTGCCACCATTCGTGCCTCCAATAACCCATAAACGATCCTCCTCGGTTGAATAATGACAGTCCACAAAATAATCAACCTGCAGGCAAGTTAAGAGAAAGGATGTTTAGAAATTCTACGGGATCTTACAATATATGAGCAACATAGAAAAAAATAAGATTCAGGTATAAATGGAACGCCTCAAACAAACAGTCATCATCACTAACAATTTCGACAATTGTGAAAGTTAACATACATGATCTAAAGTCCAGCTGTCGGATGCCAAACCTCGAGCATCTTCAAATGTGGCTTCAGCTGTCGCGTTATTCCAATCCCAAACACTGAAAAGAGAAGGGGAAAAAAAAAAAACTTGAGGCGTGATTGTTTACAACTAAATCTGCTCAAAATTATATATTTTTTTTTTTAAATCATGATTAATTTTGAAAAGTTGGTATGGGTAGTTATTAGTAGGATTTTGAGTTTATATTAAAATAATGTTTAAAATAATTTAATTAGAGTTGATTCGATGTAAAAGTACAAGAGAGATGGTGTGAAATGATGGTTAAATTATGTGATTGGATGAATAGTGAATTAAAGTTGATGTGATGTGTAAGAATGATTGGTTTGTATTATTTAATTATATTGATAATATTAAAGACATTGAGGTGAGTTAAAGTTGAGTTAGATTTTGAGTATGGATTGAATGTGAATGTGAATGTGAAGGTGATATTAATAAACAAATATCATGCGGCACAAGCCATCTAAAGGTTCCATGTCCAGAAAATGTAAAAGGCCATGATTGATGATGGATGTTACTAGAAACAACATGCATAGACCAATATATAGTCAGAGGTACCTCAAGGTTTCCATATGTGTCAAGCACCACAACTTCTGATTTGCCTCTCCAAAAAACCCCACTTTTCCAATTGAAGTTCCTACGTTGTACACCTTGTTGTGGTTTGTAGAAAGACTATCAGTGCAAAATTTCTATCAAACTCTCATAAAGAAACTAGAAAAAATCTTCTCACTTACTGATATTAAATGATCATCGTCATTTATATCTCCGCTGGTATCAAACAGACACATTAATCCATCGACTGAACCAGAAACAAGCTTGTTTGAATGACCAGGAACAAAGTGAACCTACATTTATCGTTTGTGAACAAGAATTTCAAAGTAACAGTTGTCGTGCATTTCACAAAATAAGCGAATAAAATGATTGCCCAATCATAGAGAACACCTAAATGTTTGATGTGATAATATTCAGAGTCAATTTCATTTGTAATGCTAATCTCTTTTGAATCTATTAAGGTCACAGGTGGTATTAAGAGGCTAGTTATTGTTGATTGCAACTGCTACTTTGTACTGCAGAAAGCGAAATATTACCTGTGTAACATCCTCTGTGTGAGATTCTTCCAAACACGCCGTCTGCTTCATTGTCCTCCAATCCCAAAATAGTACCTTTATCAAGCAACAAACAGCAAAGAACGAACAATATGTTAACATTAACTCCTAGGGCGAAATATACAGTACACAGTATGTACACAATACCGTAGGGATCAGTGAAGATAATAATTGATATATATATATATATACAATGTTGTACATCTCCGCAACACATTGATGCAGATTCTTTGAACTAAAAAATGAAACAGAAGTAATCACATCCAAAAACTTCAGTTATTTATTTATTTATTATATTTTGCCTCTATTAACAAGGACGGGACAGTAAACAGCAATAAATAAAACAAGGACGAGTAAGGAGAGATAATAATATATTGGAAGCTTGATATAAGTAAGAGCACGAACATAATTTATCATGTAACGAGCGTACATTTTGAATACCGAGAGGTTAAAGGATACAACAAAGCTAAAAGCTGATGTATCATCAATAACTATCAATTTAGACTATCCACGTGTTGAATATAAAACTATCGACCAAAGTACTTCAGTGAAAAGGATATACCTGAGACTTACATCCTGCTGCAAGAAGATTATCACCGGGCCCACCAAAAGAGAAGCTGAAAACCTCTTGTGAAGGCCCTGTATTTATGCAGGACACCTGCATTGCAATACATAACAACACAACCTCAAGATAATCTTCTATAAGCATGGATTAATCTAACAACACATGATTAGCTCACTTTACCAACCCATTAACCAACTTAATTTCAGAATAAATTAGAATTTAGTAGAATTTGGTACTCTCCAATCTCCATAACCCGAGTTTTTTTTATTTTTTTTTATTTTTTCTTTTCATCAGAAGAACCCGCATCAATTGATTGTTGATTTAGAACCGGCAAAGCAATCACCATTTCAGACAAAAGCTTGTATTGCCAGAATCGGGAAACAAAAACATACTTTTAAAAATGTTAATGAAGACTGAAGATGGATAAAACCTGTCGGAAAGACCTTGAATCCCAAGCTCGCAGAGTACAATCGGACGAGCAAGAGTACAACACATGCGGAGCCGACGGCCCCGCGAACGAAATCTGATTGATGGTTGAAGAATGACCTTTGAACTCCCCAAGGTACTGTCCGGCAAGCGGCGAGTACAACTTGACAGCATTCGTCGAGAGCGAGACCGCCATCGACGTCCAGTCGTGCCTGAAAGTTTCAATCACAAGCAATCGCATCCATAACTAGGAATCACAACAGAAAACCGGAAAATAAACGAAGTAAAGCGAAGATGACGATGAAATATACTTGTTGACGATCTGAAAGACGTAATCATCTCCGAAATTCGTCTGGATTGAGTTTTTCAGACCAAAACGCTTCAAATTGCTAGGCTTTGGGCTTCGATTTTCTTCTTCTATTTCCATTTCTTCTGCACTTTCCATCTTCGTTGGGTTGAGGTTTCAGTGTAAGCTAGGGTTTATTGGCAATACCAATACAGTTTTATCTTTCTCCGGGTTCAGGAACAATGAGAGAGTTGGCTCAGTAGCTTGACTCAGCTCGCTCTTGCATGACTAATTTAACGAGGTCGAGCTCGAATCGTGTATTTTAAATTTTGAAAATTGAGTTTTTTTTTATACAATTTTGTATAAGGTGGACTATAATAAATGATTCGTACTCAAGCTTGTTTAAAACTCTTAGTATAATATTTTTATGGAATTTTTTATAACTCGACTCGATAAAACTGCAATTTAGCTAGCTAATAGCCGAGTTCGATTAGGTAATATCGAAAAACAAGTCGAGTTCAAGCTCGTCTATCAACTTATTTTCTTAACGAGCCGAGCTCGGCTCGTTGGTAACGACTCGAGCTTAAACTTCAGTGGCCCAAGCTTGTTTATTGACTCGGTTTTGTGAACGAGCCTAGTTCGACTCAACTTGATAAAGGTACGAGCTTAAATTAAAGTAGTTCAAGCTCTTTTATAAATTCGTTTTGTTGACGAGTTAAGCTCGACTCAATACAGACTCGATCTTAAACTGAAGAAGTTAAACTCTTTTATCAACTTCTTTTATTAACGAATTAAGCTTGATTCGACTTAATAAAAGTTCAGGACTCAAAAGATTCAATCTCTTTTATCGACTCACTTTATTAACGAGTTAAACTTATTTTGACTCGATAAAGACTCGGTAAAACTCAAGCATCAAAATTATCTCGAGCTCATACTCGTTTGCACCCTCTCTTTCTCAAATAATCCTTCTCTATATATTAATTCAAAGCGTGTTGAGCCTAAGTGGCAGATTCTCACGCTTCGGCTGCTGACATTGCGAAAATCTATACTTCGTAATGTTGTTTATATATTCATTTTTGTTTTGGAGTTAGGTTTGGTATTAGACATAAATAATTTTATTTTTTTTTTCAAACTTGATAAGTGTATTTAATTTTATTATTTTATTATCTTAGTACACAATTTCTTCTTAGTTTGGACAAGTGCAATCTAACCATATTATATTTTTCTCTCATATTTTTCTCCTAAATTACGATTTACAAATCACTTTTCGCACTTTCTATTTCTCTTTTTTTTCATCAATTAGTCCATCCAAATTTTAAATAAAACAATTATTTTAGCAATAATTTTTATCATATATTTCTTAACTCAACACCCGTGTAGTACACGGGTATTGTACTAGTTAAATATTAGACCAAAATGACCCTCTCTCGAAATGGGACGACAAGGGCAGCGTGATCGATAACTACATGTCGTTCGGCGTCGTTTAGAACCCCAATTTCTTAACTTTTGCCGTTTCTTGATATGATTTTGGTTAATTTGGGGTCAGTTGTTTGTTTTGTTGAAAAAAATTTCTACTTGTTCATGGTAACTCAATAGAATGTTTGATCGTACGGTTAGATCAAACTCACACCCATGAGGTAGACACCATTTTAGCTAGCTGAAATTATCATGAACAGAGGTCATGTATACTTTGTTATGGTGATGCAAGTGTTCTTCACTAAATTGCATTGGTCAAAATATGTCTGCACTTTTTTTGTTCTAATATGATAATTCTTCACTGATCTGCTGCTGTTTGTTGAGTTATGCATAGAACATGCCTTTCCCAATGTAACTCCTCGTCCCTTCGGGGGACATCTGATAAAACTGGAACCATACAGAGAAGATTAGCATGGCCCTGCACAAGGATGACACGCATAAATCGAGAAATGATCCCAATTTAACTCCTCGTCAATAGGATTTGGGTTTCACCTTTTAAGTGTGTTCTTGTTTTGCTAAAGCTTTCATGGTACACTTGACAAACCGGAAAGAAAAAAAAAAAAAACAGAATTAGGCTCGAATAGCATGTTCATCTTCAGCTCAAATGCCCGAGAATAATCGGCACTGAGACTCCCAATGCTCTTTAGTCTGCTGAATTCTCTCAATCTTTTCGGCCTTTCGCCTCTCTTCCCAGTATTCTGGACAGCTGTTAATAATGTTAGATGAGTTACGTAATCAAAGTAACAAACTACCGAAACATATGTTTCGAATGGAAGTTACTTACAGAACACTGAGTTTACCTTTGGCCTAACAGAATATGAAGCTCCTCCAAATGTACCGCATTTTCATATACTCGTTCCTGTAATAAATCCGAGCAAGTATAGCATTAGGTGTCCATAAAAGGCTAGCCATTATTATAGTGAATCTTTTTCTTCTCAAATGACCTTAAAATATATTAATGTGGAACTTTTATACTGTGTTTGGTAAGCATATAAGCTAGTTTATAACTTATTTAGATTAACTTATAAGCTTCTTGTATGCAAATATGTTTGGTTTGGTAGGACGAGGTTTTTTAAAAAACTCGAGTTTATCTCATAAATTGCTTCCTTGGGTAGCTTTCAAATAAGCCAGTTTAAATTTTTATTTCAGCAGCTTATTAGCAAATTTTATCAAGCACTTTTATTATGTATGCTAATTTTTCAATCATAAATCATAAGTTATAAGCTATAAGCTCGAAATTCACTTAAAAGTTATAAGCTAGCTTATCAGGTCTACCGAACATAGCTTAGCCGATACCTCTCGACATATTGGGCATTTCTGATTGGGCCGTGCTGCCTTAAGCCCGTCAACTATCGTAACTGAAGCAGCTTTGCATGCACACAAGTAACATAACATATGACCACAGGTGAGTGAAACTGGATCAAATAATGTCTCCTGTAAGGGAAAAAAGAAAAGAATTATTGAATTCAAATCACAAATTAATGTTGGTTTGCTAAATCCAAATGGGATAAATTCAGTTCATGATTTTGGAAGTTCTTTTTGAACATTCAAAGGCACTAACCAAGCATATGGAACAGGTCAAGTCGATATCTAACTCGACCGAGTCAAAGAGCTCGCAATGCAGAGATGGTTTCACGTCGTTTAATAAAAGTGAACACCCTTCAAAGAGTACTTCTTGTTCGCTGCTTGAATTGACCTTTTTATCGGATGTTCTCGAGTTTATGTGAAAAGCCATAAGCTCACATAGCCAAGGCGATTGAAGGATCTCGATTTGCATGTGTCGGGCCTTCGACTTGAAAGCTTGGCCTTGCTTAGAGTAGTGAATCTGTAAAAACACAAAAAGGATAAAAATGCACTCTTTTCGTACGTTGCAAAACACAAAAACGATAAAAATGAACTCTTTTCGTACATTGCGGATAGCCTCTTGACCATTGTATTAAGGTCTTTACTTTACCTTATCGTATTTCTTTAGTATTTTGCGCATGGCCATGGCATTGAAGATTGCGTATGTAACGAGGTCGCGACCTTCTTGAATTGGGGCAATGTGATTTCCTCGTAATTTGTCTTTCAACCGAATAATGAACTTGCTAAAACACGATGAAAGGTGGAAATCGAGCAATCTTTGGACTCTTTGATTGAAAAATCCGACCACAACCGACATCTCCTCTAGCAGCGACGGGAAAAACGTGCCATCGCAGACTAAAAACAGGGCAAAAAAGACATATTTAGACTTCTAAAGACATATTTTGGTAATTGGATTTAGCCAAGAAATCTCCTAGTTTTCTTTCACTTTTAGTGTTTTTGATTGTGTGAATTGTAAAATGATTTAAATATGCTTCTCCCTTTACCATGATTTTCTATTTTTTTGGGTTTTTTTTTCATTTTGTACTTAGTGTTGTTTTCAACCCAAAGAAATTTACCAAGTCCTAAAACACCCTCTTGAATATAAACAATCACTCATCATAACCCTATATTTATTTTAAGCAACTAATTAAGCCATATATAAGATAAAATCCCAAATAATAATGTCTAGAAATATCACACACACACACAGTGTAAACAAGCCGAGGCGAGGTTGAGCTCGAGTTTGGACTCGAGCCTTTACCAGGTCGAGCCTAGCTTGGCTCATTAATTAAAGGAGCCAATAAATGAGCTCCGCTCTTTTACCAATACCAACGGATAGAGATCAAAACTTAAGGAGCCAAGCCGATGATCGAGGCTTTATCAGGCCGAGCCAAGCCAAGCTCGGCTCGCTAATTAAACGAACTCGATCTCTCGAGCCTTTAAAGAGTCAAGCCGAGCTTACGAGCGGCTCGTTTCATTAAACAACTTCACACACACACACAGTTGAAAAACTTGAATTTATAATTTCCAAGTACCTGGACAAGTGGAAACATTATTATGATGAAAACAAGGAACCAAATCACCATTATTTCCCCCAACACAGCCATCAAAAACAGCAGCAGCTTGTGAGTGTGTCTGTTTTCTGCATCTCTTGAGGATTTTCTTGAGCTTCTTGAAACTGACACGTGGCAGCTTCTTCTTCTCCTCCTGTCCCTGCATGTACTCCTCGTATTTCTTACAGAACTTCATTTGTCCACGTA